GGGTTGGCAACTAAACAGGAGGGGGGAAACCAGATTATCTTGCTCCTGAGGCTTGAGTGGCAGGTTGAATTGCAGAAAGAAGGCAAGGCTTTCACAGGATGAAGATTTAGCATTATCACCTGCTAACGCCTGCAAATTAAGGCTGCAATCCTAACCCCAGTTACCTGGGAGTAATTCAGTTGGTCTTACTTCTGAGTTTACAAACAATTGCAGCCTTACTGCCTCTAGGCTGTCTGAAGCAGCAAATGACTTGCGTACAGACAGTGCAGAGAAAATAAAAGTAATGAGGCGTCTGTCAGGACAGCAAAATAAATAAATAAGGAATATTGTCAGGATTGTGCTGTACACTGCTGAAGAAGGCACAGGAGCAGGGCTAAGTTGGAAATCTGGCAGTTCTAAGTGTTCTGGTGTGAAAGAGCTAGTGCTAAGCTCTCAGAACCCAGAGGAGTAAAAATAATTTTTAAATATTTGTTTGTTCATAGTCCACAAGGAAATTGCCTTGCAGACTCTTTAAGGAGAGAAAAGGGGTCCATAGCAAACAGTACCCTTATCCTACTAGGTTTATGCCTCATATCTGACAAAGAAGAAGCCAAGAGCCAGACCCTCTAGGTCAGCGTTTCCCAAACTTGGGTCTCCAGCTGTTTTTGGACTACAATTCCCATCATCCTTGACCACTGATCTTGCTAACTAGGGATGATGGGAGTTATAGTCCAAAAACAGCTGGAGACCCGAGTTTGGGAAACACTGCTGTAGGTGAATTATCTCAAAATCTAGAAGGGTTCAAATAAAAAAAGAAAGAAATCCTAACAAATACTCTTAAAACACACACAAACACACACTCTTCGTTATAACTGCAATAAAAACTGCTTCGCCCCCTTCCCTCTGCAACCCATTTTCCTTTCGTCTCTTATCTTTCATATGGCAAGCTTGTGAGCAGGCACCATGTTATTTTAAGCAGTCACATGCAACCCATTCTGGAAGGCTTTTAAAACTGAAGAGCAGGTTTAAAATAAAATAATAATAATAATAATAATAATAATAATAATACTCTAAATAAATAAACATAACCCAAAAGGGGCCTTTAAATCTCACTGGAATTTGGCTCATTGCCTTCTCCTGGAGTCTTAAATGGCACCCCTTGGACTCCCTTAGCCCTTGGAAGAAGGAAAACCCACCATCCAACTTCCCAGTTTATTCTGCCAAACCCGCAGAGAACGAGTGTTACGTGTGCTTGCTTTTGCTTTGGCTGTTGCTCGACAGAAGACAGCTTGGTGAATTAATCATGCGTCTTGTTGAATGGGGTCCGCACTCATTAAATCTGCATGCATTTGCATATCAACTAACACAGCCGTCCGGATTTTCCTTTTTTCAACACATCCCAGTTTACCAGCGGTGCATCCATCTATCTGTGTGTCACGGCACATCAAGCGTCAGAAAGGATTTCCTTCTGCATAAGAGAGAAACTTGCCTGCAATGCATGGAATTGTGGAACTAAAAGGGACCTGTCTGTGGTCTTCTCACTGACATCTGGCTGGTGACTGTGAGAATAGGTTGCTGGACTAAATGGGCCTGATCCAGCAAACTCTTCTTACGTTCTTTTGTAGGTCCAACTAGGGAGATCCTAGCTGATTAAGAACATAAGAATAGCCCTGGCTTGGGTGGCCAATGTCCCCTCTATCTAGTTTCCTGCCCACTCAGATGCCTGTAGCAAACCCTCAAGCAGGACGTGAGCACAACAGCATCTCTCCCCTCTTGTGGTTTCCAGCAGCTAGCATTCAGAAGCACGACTGCCTTCGGTTGTGGAGACATTGCACCGTCATCGTGGCTAGTAGCCACTGATAAGCCTTCTCCTCCATGAATCCGTCTAATCTTCTTTCAAAGCCATCAGAGCGATTTCCGTGTTTCACTGTGTACCATGTGCTTTCGTCATTGCAAGGCCACCCACTCCTGGGGAAAATGGGACATTGCTTTCTCCCACTTGCCATTTCCAGCAACTGGCATTCAGTGCCATGTTGCCTTTGACAGCAGAGGTCAGAGCCGATTGCTGCATTCCCAGACCCTCCAAGCATCCCTATTTTCCAGGGACAGTCCCGGATTTACAGAAGCCATCCTAGTTTCTGTTTGATTCTGGAATGTCCTGCTTTGCCTTAGAATATCCCTGTTTTCATCAGAGAAAAGTTGGAGGGTATGGAGTTATGAGACCCTCCCAAGTCAAGGAGATAACTAACTATACAACCTTTTAGAAGACAGCTGAAAGCAGCCCTGCTATAGGGAGGTTTTCCGATGTTCAATGTTTTATTATGTTTTTACATATGTTGGAAGCCGTCCAGAGTGGCTGAGGCAACCCAGTCAGATGAGCAGGGTATAAAATAATAAAGTTGTTGTTATTGTTGTTGTTGTTGAATAGGACATCCCTATTTTCATCGGAGAAATGTTGGAGGCTGTCATTCCCCTTGTAGGGGGCTGCATGTCAACTGTGGACAAGGCCAAAGCCAGTGGTGGGCAGGGGTACCCCTTTTGCCACCCCTTCTCTCTTGCCCCTCCACATCCAGTGAATGTCCAGGGAAAGGCCAGATTGCACTTAGAATCATAGAATCATAGAGTTGGAAGAGACCACAAGGGCCATCGAGTCCAACCCCCTGCCAAGCAGGAAACACCATCAGAGCACTCCTGACATATGGTTGTCAAGCCTCTGCTTAAAGACCTCCAAAGAAGGAGACTCCACCACACTCCTTGGCAGCAAATTCCACTGTCAAACAGCTCTTACTGTCAGGAAGTTCTTCCTAATGTTTAGGTGGAATCTTCTTTCTTGTAGTTTGGATCCATTGCTCCGTGTCCGCTTCTCTGGAGCAGCAGAAAACAACCTTTCTCCCTCCTCTATATGACATCCTTTTATATATTTGAACATGGCTATCATATCACCCCTTAACCTCCTCTTCTCCAGGCTAAACATGCCCAGCTCCCTTAGCCGTTCCTCATAAGGCATCGTTTCCAGACCTTTGACCATTTTGGTTGCCCTCCTCTGGACACGTTCCAGTTTGTCAGTGTCCTTCTTGAACTGTGGTGCCCAGAACTGGACACAGTACTCCAGGTGAGGTCTGACCAGAGCAGAATACAGTGGCACTATTACTTCCCTTGATCTAGATGCTATACTCCTATTGATGCAGCCCAGAATTGCATTGGCTTTTTTAGCTGCCGCGTCACACTGTTGGCTCATGTCAAGTTTGTGGTCAACCAAGACTCCTAGATCCTTTTCACATGTACTGCTCTCAAGCCAGGTGTCCCCCATCTTGTATTTGTGCCTCTCATTTTTTTTGCCCAAGTGCAATACTTTACATTTCTCCCTGTTAAAGTTCATCTTGTTTGTTTTGGCCCAGTTCTCTAATCTGTCAAGGTCGTTTTGAAGTGTGATCGTGTCCTCTGGGGTGTTAGCCACCCCTCCCAGTTTGGTGTCATCTGCAAATTTGATCAGGATGCCCTTGAGTCCATCATCCAAGTCGTTGATAAAGATGTTGAATAAGACCGGGCCCAAGACAGAACCCTGTGGCACCCCACTAGTCACTCTTCTCCAGGATGAAGAGGAACCATTGATGAGCACCCTTTGGGTTCGGTCAGTCAGCCAGTTACAAATCCACTGAGTGGTAGCATAGTCAAGACCGCATTTTACCAGCTTCTTTACAAGAATATCATGGGGCACCTTGTCGAATGCCTTGCTGAAATCAAGGTAGGCTACATCCACTGCATTCCCTTCATCTACTTGTCAGAAGTCTGAGCTGACCACTTGCAAAGAAGCTTCCAAAATCAGACCGAGGGCCATATAACATTTGGGCATGGGCTGCCCACACCTGCCATAAACTAACAGTGGAGTACAACATAAGGGTTTGGCTGCACTGACCTGATTTTTGCTGTACATCCCCCCCACCCCATTAAAGAATCCTGAAAACTGTAGTTTGTTGTGGGTGCTGGGAATTATAGCACTGCAGAGAGTACACTACAGCTCCCAGGACTCTCTGCCAAGTGCAGGAAGTGGTGCAAGAGTATAGTGCAGGGGTCAGCAAACTTCTTCAGCAGGGGGGCGGTCCACTGTCCCTCAGACCTTGTGGGGGGCTGGACTATATTTTGGGGGAGGGAAATGAACGAATTCCTATGCCCCACAAATAACCCAGAGATGAATTTTAAATAAAAGCACACATTCTACTCATGTAAAAACACGCTGATTCCCGGACCGTCTGCAGGCCAGATTTAGAAGGCGATTGGGCCGGATCCAGCCTTAGTTTGCCTACCCATGGTATAGTGTGTACACTGCACCAGACAAGCAGGAAAGATCCTATTCTGGTTCACGTCCAACCCCACTTCCTTATGGCGCAACACCAGTGAACTTTTCCCTGTACCTGGCACACTCTTGATCTTCAACCCCTCCAAAATTAACCCCTTTTATCACCACCTAAGTGATACAAACACACACCAGGTCCTAACGTTTCCAGGAAAAGCACTCCCACTTGCTTCTAAAATCAATCCCTTTCCACAACCCATATTTTGAGACCCTTCTTGCGTACCTTAGAACTGACACTCTTAACCTCTGCATGCACACACCCCAATTCCTATATGAAATCCCCCATGGTGTTTGCAGACTTCAAATCCCACAAACAATCCGTGCACAGATGGAAAGTTTTGTCACAGTTCAAAAAGAAAGAGAAAAGTTGGCTTCCATCAGCTTCCCACCATTTCAGATTCTTTAAGTTTGTCCTGAAAGTCATTTTAGCCTTGATTCCAGAAATTGGGGGGGGGGGTAAGCCCTCTATTGCTTGCCCTTTCCTGCCCCTCTCCCCAAATTTAAACTTGACTGCAGGGGAGCAGGCAAAATGCCCCCATTTGGACAGAAAACAAACCCCAAAAACCGACAATAATAAACAAATTTGCTCCCTCTTCCTCACCAGGGGGAGGAAAAAAGCCACACAACCTTCCCCACGAATCCAAGGTCAACACTTCTTGACACTCACTTTCCTTTGGGCCTTGTCACTCCGGGGGTGTAGGGAGGGGGGATCTGTCCCAAAGCAAAACCTTCAGTTTCTTGGGGTGGAGGGCAGGGTGACCCCAGCGCCTGGGTCTTCAGTCAATTCCAGGAAAAGAGACCACAGATAAGTGAAAAACAAGATCCCAAGTTTGAGGGCGCCCCCAGTACAAGCAGATGCTGTCCCTTGTGATCCCAGATAGGGAAAAATGATGGTGGCGATGATGATGATGGGTGTCTCTCCCAGGTTGTCCTAATGTCCTTCCTGGTTCCCTGAGTGTCCCTCCCTTGCTCCGCCCCCATCCTGGATCGTTCCCTTGCCTATGTCACCCAGCTCCTGGCTTCCTCTCTGCACCACCCTGGCTCCTTGCTTAACTCTAACAGCTAGCTGCCTGTCACTCACCTGGATTGACGGGGAGGCTTTCCCCCGATGCTCTCGGGCTATTGGACAGAGAGGACCCCCTCCGGCTCCAAGGCGCGCGCGGGCGCGCAGACCCCTCGTGCGCTTAGCTGCCGGAACGGCTTCTTCTACTGACTTTCCGCTTGCAATGTCGAGCCTGCAAGCGGTTCTCCTCCTGCCTTCCTGGTGTTCAAACAAGTTTTACAACCCTGCTCGCTGGCTTTGGCTTTTGCTTTGGAAAAACAAAAGCTGTGACATCAGAGGCCGAAAGAAGCGGGGCGGTTGGGGGGGGGGGGAGCACCCGGTCTGCAGGGAACCAGCTTTGAGATAGTGAAACCAGGAAAATCCCATGAGTGCAGAAGTTTGAAGCTTTCCCAGCTGAGAGCAGCTGCCCCTTTTATTATTACGAATGTCAGTGGGGGGTTTTTCTGGGAGAAATTGTGGGGGAACTCACCAGAAGTTAGTTAGTTAGTTAGTTAGTTAGTTAGTTTGTTTGTTGCGGGGGGCACACACACCCCGTAGTGGCTAAGTGTAAGATGTGATTAATAAACTCAAGCAGACAATGATCTGGATTAGAAATGGCCGCAACTTTATTGATTACAGATATACAGTGGCGTAGCGTGGGGGGTGCAGGGGGGGCCGGCCGCACCGGGCGCAACATCTGGGGTTAGGGCAAATCCACAGGTTAGGGGGCGCAAATCCACGGGTTAGGGGGCGCAAATTACTTGCCTTGCCCCGGGTGCTGACAACCCACGCTACGCCACTGCAGATATAAGTGGATTTTTGGTTCAGGCATTGGGTTCCAGCCCCAGCAGACAAAAGATAATTATTATTAAAATTTTAAAAGGTAAGGGAACTCAGTTCCCCCGAGTTCTGCTAAAAACAACAACAACCCCTGACTATTATTATTAACAGCAGTGGGACTTTTAATAAAATCTACCATTCTTTTGTTCCTTCCAAGCTGTGCCAAAACCCTTTTATTTCTTGGTTGTTTTCTTTTTTATATATGATCGGTTTTTAATTAAAAGTTTCAGAATACAATAAAAGCAAAACAGAGAGTAAGAATTGGAAAGAAAGAGCATGGAAAAGAAAATGAAGAAGAAGAAGAAGAAGAAGAAGAAGAAGAAGAAGAAGAAGAACAGTAAAATACAAAAACCCTCTATGAAGTTTGTATCTTTACTCTTCATCCACACAAAGGGAGGCAGGCCATCCCAGCTCACATCTGGGCACTTCCCCCCTCTTACCGCAGCCTCCCACCCTGGAAGATCCTCTCTGCCCTGCTTCTCACACAGGGCCTTTCATAATGTCTGCCATTCTATGATTCTATAACTTGCTTGGCAGGCAGACGTTCAGCAGGTGAAGCTTCTCTTGTAGTGCAGGTGGAACATGTCATTGGTATGCCCAAGCCTCGCAGGTTTATCTCCAGGATCTCCAGCACAAAGATTTAGCAGCAGCTGTCCGTTAATAAACTGCTTGGCAGGAAGATGTTCAACAGGTTAAGCTCGTTTGTTTTGTTTTTGCAGGAAGAGACTGTGGCTCAATGGCAGTGCGAGTCTTTTGTGTGCCCAAGTCTCCCAAATTCAATCCCTGGCATTTCCTGTTTAAAGATCATTACTTCAGAGAGTTGAGGGTTAGATTGCAGGGACAGATGATGTAATGCACTCTGGACATTGATGGACTCCAACTCCCATCAGCCCCAGCTAGGATGGTCAATGATCGGGGGTGACGGGAGTTGCAGTCCAACAAAAGTCTGGAGGGCACCAGGTTGGCTATCCCTGCCGGGAGAGTTCCCAGCCGTCTGCTAGAGAGAGAGACCAACAGTCTGCCTGACGCTATGGCACCTTCATAAGTTCAAAACCTTTGGAGTACCTCTCAGTCTTGCCGTTCCCTTCGCTCCACAGTGGTTAATTTCCTAATGAGACAGATGCCAATTATGCCAGGGCAGAAGGTGGTTTGAAAGCAACACCCTCTCATTTACTCACCTGTCCCTCCCCTTCAGATTGCTGCTGGCAGTTTTGCACAGTGATGCACAGGGGAAAGGCACTCTGTCTGTGCTCAGAGACACGCTTTCAGTCATTATGTCTTACTGATCATTTACACCCATGAAAGCCTGCTTTGGTGTGTTGCCAGCACAGTCCTTAACATACACAACAACTCATAACCAGCGTAGTGTAGCAGAAGGAGTGTTGGACTAGGACCTGGGAGACCAGGGGTCAAATTCCAGCTCAGACATGAAACTCACTGGGTGACCATGGCCCAGGCACTTTTGCCTCTCAGCTTAACCTACTTCACAGGGTTGTTGTGAGGATAAAAACAGGTCTTTTTTTCAGCTAGGACTCGCCAGAACTTGGTTCTAGCACCTCTCAGGTAGGTGCTATTGCCATTCCAAGAGAACAAAGAAAGTGTTCATAATGAGTTCTGGCACCCCTTTTTCTAGAAAAATAGCACCGGAACCAAGTCTGCCATCTTTAGCCCCATGGAGGAAAGGCAGGGATGCAAATGTAATAAACAAGCAAGCAAACGTTTTGGAGAGGCAGTGTGGTGTAGTGGTTAGAGTGTGACCTTGAGCCAGTCACAATGTCTCAGCCTAACCTTCCTCCCTGGGCTGTTGGAAGGATATAGCAGGAGGGGAGAAAGAGCTTTGTTCATCACCTTGAGCTCCTTGGAGGAAAGGTGGCATATAAATGCATTAATAAAAAGAAAATTAAAAATTCATCCTGATTTCTTTGCAAGGCGATTAGACAATGTGGTCTATTTAATGAGCTGGTTTTTTTGCAAATGGCAGAACCATGCATGGCCCATCTAATTCAGCCAGTTCCCTGTGAGAAACCTGTAAGCAGGTCTTGAACACAAGAGCACTCTTCCCCCTCTGTGGTTCCTGGCAACTAGTACTCAGAAGCATTACAGCCTCCCACTGTTTGAAAACCTTGCCTGGACTCTACCACTTCAGACTAGATCATATGGTGGGGGAGTGGCATGTTGGAATTGCTCATCCATGGGGTGGAGGGCAGAAAACATACGTAGAAAACTTGCGTGCTGTCAGGCTTTTCCTTGACATTTTGTTTTTCCAGATGGACAAGTTTTTGTTTTTTTTAAGTGAGAATAATATTTTTTAAAATGAGGGAGTATTCAAATATGCGGGACGTGGGTGGTGCTGTGGGTAAAAGCCTCAGCGCCTAGGACTTGCCGATCGTCAGGTCGGCGGTTCGAATCCCCGTGGCGGGGTGCGCTACCGTCGTTCAGTCCCAGGGCCTGCCAACCTAGCAGTTCGAAAGCACCCCTGGGTGCAAGTAGATAAATAGGGACCGCTTATCAGTGGGAAGGTAAACGGCGTTCCGTGTGTGCTGCGCTGGCTCGCCAGATGCAGCTTGTCACGCTGGCCACGTGACCCGGAAGTGTCTGCGGACAGCGCTGGCTCCCGGCCTATAGAGTGAGATGAGCGCACAACCCTAGAGTCTGGCAAGACTGGCCTGTACGGGCAGGCGTACCTTTACCTTTACCTTTATTCAAATATGCAGCTCCCTGCCACCCAAAGTAGTACAATCCAGGAAGTGCTGAACCACTTGATTCTGTTGATGGCAGAATTGGTAGCCTATTGGCTGAGTCTTGCAGCCTGTGGGAAATCGAGTTGATAAACCTCAGTGCTATAAATGTCTGTCAGTTTCCTGAAGTGGGTTTTCTGTGTGTGTAGATTTTCAAGCTGTCTTCTTTCATTATATAACTCTTCTGCCAGAAGCTATATAGGCTGAAATAATATTTGTTCTTAGGCTTGGCACTTGGAAAGATTGACATTCAGGGATGGGAAATCTGCAGTCCTCCATACATTTGCTGGACTACAGCTCCCATCATCCCTGGCCATTGGCCATGCTGCCTGGGGGCTGATGGGAATTGGAGTCCAGCAGCAGCAGGGTCGGGAGGTGGGTGGCGCTGTGGGTAAAAGCCTCAGCGCCTAGGGCTTGCCGATCGAAAGGTCGGCGGTTCGAATCCCCGCGGCGGGGTGCGCTCCCGCTGCTCGGTCCCAGCGCCTGCCAACCTAGCAGTTCGAAAGCACCCCCGGGTGCAAGTAGATAAATAGGGACCGCTTACTAGCGGGAAGGTAAACGGCGTTCCGTGTGCTGCGCTGGCTCGCCAGATGCAGCTTGTCACGCTGGCCACATGACCCGGAAGTGTCTCCGGACAGCGCTGGCCCCCGGCCTCTTGAGTGAGATGGGCGCACAACCCTAGAGTCTGTCAAGACTGGCCCGTACGGGCAGGGGTACCTTTACCTTTTACCTAGCAGCAGGGTCACAGGTTCCCCACCCCTATTCTCAGGGAGAGGGCAGAGAGTAGTGTTTATTGGCACTCCACATTTAAGGCGCTATGTTCCACTTCAAACAGTCACAGGTTCCCCCTCAAATAATTCTGGGAGCTGTCGTTTGTTAAGGGTGCTGAGACTTCTTCAGAGGCTCCTATTCCCCTTGCCGAGCTACAATTCCCAGAGTGCTTTAACAATGCATCCCTCTTTCCAGGAAATCTGCGAACTGTAGCTCTCTCTGGGGAGTAGGAACCTTTAGAGCAAATCTGTGGACAGTGATGCAGGTTGCAGGGGGCATAGCTTAGTGGCAGAGTGCATGTTTTTGCATATAGAAGGTCCCATGTTTGATCCCTGGCATCTCCAGTTAGATGGATTCAGTAAAATTCTTAGAATCAGAATTGTAGAATTGGAAGGGACCCCACGGGTCATCTAGATTCTAGCCCAACCCCCTGCAATGCAGGAATCTCAGCTAAAGCATCCATGACAGATGGCCATCCAACCTCTGCTTAAAAACCTCTGAAATAGACTCAGAGTCCTGTAGTGATTTCATGCTCTTTATTGCAGCTTGTAAAACAGTGATTGAATTGCCCCCCAAACCTCAGGCTTTTATATACATTATTTACACAATGAGTCCCATCTGATTGGCTGATTCTGCTTCCCTCCT